CTTCAAAAGGAATCAATGGTTGGTTGTTTTGTTTTTTCATGAAGGGGCTAATGGAAGAAAACAAGGTTCAAATAACTGTTTTAAACCCCAAGTCTGTGACCATGGGCCAGTTATATGGACAGTTTGATTTAGTGTCCCACGAGTGGTCTGATGGAGTCCTTGCTGTCAGCTTTAGAGCATTTGCATCTTCCTCGGTAAGAGCTAATATTCTTATATTCAGATTTCAAAAGGACACGATGTGTTTTATGACCAATCTCAGTTATTTCAAACAAACATTTTTATTTATAGCCTAAGATATTTATTGAAAACGCATTACTGGCTGGTCTGACGGTATTTCTGTGACTAGCAATGGCAGCATCTTCAAGGATACCAGAGACCATGTGCATTGGCACTTCTGCCCTAGAAGCACATAGCAGGCAGGATGGGAGGCAAAGCAGATGATCTAGTAATATGGGCTTTAGTTTCTTCTGTGATGTTCCCTCTTTGCCCTATCTTTGAGCTCCTGCCACTGTCATCCAATTGTTAAGTATATTCTAAGGCTTAGGGAACAAATTTCATGCCTTTGAAAATGTTTAAAGTACCAGTACTTTCCATGTAGTGTTCTAGAAAGAGAATGGGTTGCCTTGTAGAAAGCAGAAGACAAGAGATGTGCCAGCTGCTGACTTCCCTACCCTCACTGTGTTCTGTGGAGTGCTTGTTGGTCACAGTCACAAACAGGCCACAGACCAGTAAGTGCTAATTCTGGTGCCATATTTTATGGAGTTTTCTGTAGAGGGTGATCATGTGGGAGTCAGCTTGCTAAGACTTGGATAGGAAAAGAAGCTTACATTAGGGACATCTAATTTCTTTATGAAATCATTCTTTTATGTTTTCTTTATCTTGGCTACCATACACCCTAAATTTGGTGTTTCTGTACTATTTAAGGACCCAATGGCTTATAACTCGTGACCATAATGTACTCGGCTTAGCTTTTATTGGCAGAAAGACCATGAGCTATGAGTAACATAAGCATTGATCTCCAGGGCAGAGATCTTGCCCAGTATCAAGCTTGACTAGTAATTTTCAGGATAAGTAATCATAAGGCACAGGTAAAGCAGACAGAGGTAGCTTCTCAGATCCTCTGTTGTCATAATGAATGTGTTCAGGCCCAGAGTAACTTAACATGAAAATTCAGATCATATAGGCAGATGGCTTATTAACTCAGAAAAGGCCATGAGTACCTCTGTGTTATGTTCAGTTACATACCTCATATTACATTTTGCAGAAAGTCATGCCCATGATACCAAGTCTCTGTGAGGCTCAGTAGTTTACCCACCACTCCTAAGCAGTAGAGATGAATGAAAAGAGAAGTCCTTCAGGCTGTGAAACTCAAGGTCACATTTACACAGCAGTGTTTCCTGAAGTGACCTCAGGCACAGATAGCCCAGAATTTGAGGGAAAACTGATCTCAAGTGATTACCCAGGGATGAGGTATGCTCTTCCTGCGGCCCTCCTGAATTCTGAGCACAGCCAGAATGAGCCTGTGAATGCAGGAATGGGGTGATTTGAGCCTGAGACAGACTGTCTTATGGAGTTAACTCAAGGGACTGAGAATGTGTTAAGTAGATTTGAGTCCATCACCACTGCAGCCTCCACTCACATTTGTTGAAGTGATGCTTTGTAAACCAAAGCATCACTTGTATACCAGAAGGCTGAATATAGGCCTCTAGAAGGAGAGTCAGGCTCTAGCCTCTCCAGTTTGTACCTGGGCACTTCTTAATATTGATTTAACATTTACTATATTCAGGAAAATGTATAAATATTTATACATCTATACATTTATGTTGTTATTAATATGTGTGTGTGTGTGTGTGTGTGTGTGTGTGTGTGTTGAGACACAGTTCTCCTATAGCCCCAGCTGTCCTGGAACTGGAACTCCCCATGGAGACCAGGCTGGATTCCATATCACAGAAATTCACCTGTCTTTGACTCCCAAGTGCTGGGATTAAAGGCATGTGCCACCATGCCCAGCCTTATCACTGACATATTGAACATTGTATGAATGCTTTTTTTAAAAATATTTTTTGAGACAGTGCCTTACTATGTAGTGTTGGCTAGCCTGGAACTCACTATGTAGACCAGACTGGCCTTGAACTCACAGAGATCTGCCTGCTGCTGCCTCCCAAGTGCTGAGACTAAAAGTGTACACTACCATGCCTGGCTTGATTTTAATATTCTATGCCATCATGAGGCAGTTAGCCTAAGATTGCTGTGTGTATATGGATTCATTAGACAGAGGGAAGAAAAAAACTTAGCTTAGTACAAAAAAGTCATTAACTCTATGAAAAAATACTAGTAGAATTCATGATAAGAGCAGTCTTTAAAGCACCCAAAACAGATCTATTTGAATGAAAATTCCATTTCTCTGCCAATAGTATTTTTACTTTTAATATTTTTAAAACATTTTATGTACGTTTGAGCTTAGAAACATTGAAAAAATTGAATCAAGGAAAGATTTTATGTTTTTGTCTTGTCCATGATATATATCCTTCTTCATATGTGTGTATGTACACACACACACACACACACACACACACACACACACAAATTATTTACTGATTACTTTTATATTGTCATAGTAAATTAACTGTTATATTTTTTAATTTTGAAATGATGTGATTGAACTGTTGTTCCATTTATTACATTTTGCCCTTTGTTCACTATATGCACAAAATAGACTCCAGATAGGAAGTGGCTAGTTTTTGATGGGCCAGTGGATGCCGTGTGGATTGAGAACATGAACACAGTGCTGGATGACAACAAGAAACTGTGTCTGATGAGTGGGGAGATTATTCAGATGTCACCACAAATGAATCTGATTTTTGAACCAATGGATTTAGAAGTTGCATCTCCTGCCACTGTGAGTTCTCAATCTTGACATCTATGGATTGCAAAATATTATGTTTATTTAGTTTACTTAGTAGCTTTTACTTTGTATAAAAAATATTTGTATAGTGGTCTGTGATTCTGAAAGAACAGACATCTGTTCATGTACCTTGGTACAATTAACAAACAAGCTGTTTTTATATGGAATCATTTTGCAAAGTCACAAAATTGAGATCATGAAATTATATAAAGTTAAGTCTTGCCCCCAAGACTTTCCTGTATGTTGATTCTAAGAAGTAGATGTGCCAAGTGATCTTAAAAGCCAGCACTGAAGCCAGGTCTTGTGCTGATCTCCCTGCTTAACCTCACCTGACTTTTCTCTCTCAATGATCAGGTGAAGTAGGTTTTCAGTCATTATGGGGAGTTCGATGACCAACAAGAAGCCTCTTGGAGCCTCTGTTCCCTCTAGCCAGTCCACTGTGTGGTATGTCAGGTGCTGTGTGTAGATAGACTAAATCAGTAATAAGGCTTTCCAAAGGACATGATCATCTCTGTTCTTGAGATATACAGAACAGAAAAGCATCTCATGACCATGTGTCTGGTATCAACTGAGCATCGTGTGACTCCCAAACCTCATCTGTGAGTAGATGTCTACCAGTTTGTGATCACCTATCTCCTTTGGAAACTATCCCTAAATCAGCCTCAAGGGAAGATAGCCCTTTATCTGCCATCTTTCCACCCACTGGTTTATCTCAGTGAAGCTCTCTCTCTACTGTCTTTGTTCCTTCTGACTCACATGTGAGCAGACTGACCCTGTGCAGGTCATGGGATTTCTTTCGTAAGCACAACTCTGATGATAAGCAATGTGTGTCCTTCTAGGTTTCCCGATGTGGCATGATTTACATGGAGCCCCACATGCTGGGCTGGAGACCACTTATGGTGTCGTGGGTAAATGTTTTACCACCATCAGTCAGTGTCATTCAGAAAGAGTTCATAGAAGGCTTATTTGACAGAATGGTCCCTGTTTCTGTTGAATTTATTAGAAGGCATACAAAGGTAAGAGAAATGGGAATTTCAAGACTAAATAATGGGAAAATTTGAGTTAGCTAAATATACCAATTTCAATGTATTGTTTCTATAAATGAATATAATAAACAATATGTTGTTTCTATAATGAATAAAATACCTTTTGGTACTGGGCATGGTGGTGACCACTGTTAATCCCAGCACTCGAGAGGTAGAGGCAGGCAGCTCTCTGTGAGATTGAGGCCAGCCTTGTCTATATAGTGAGTTCCAGGCCAGCTACGGCTACAGGGAGACCTGACTCAAACAGACAAACAAACAAACTAACTAACCAAACAACCAAACAAAAAAAAAACCCCAAAATTCCCAAATACCTTTCAGCTGATTTAACTGAAAATCTTTTTCTGTTTTAGTCTTTTCTCTTTATTTTTTTGACACAAGTTCTCATTGTATAGCCCAGGCTGGCCTGGAACTTGCAACCTTGCTGGCTCAGCCTCCCAAGTCTGCAACTGTAGGCATATGCCAACACTCCTAGCTAAGACCTTTTCTCAGAGTAAAATAAAAGACTTTAATTCATCTAATTATTCCCCCAAAATATTTAAAGTGAAGAATTTTAGAACTTGGACAATGTTATTGGTACTGTTCTTCTTTCTTAAAAGAAAGACCAAAATAATAAAGAAAAAAACTGAACTCAACTTTGTCTGAATAAAATACCTAAAATGCTTTCTCTTATTTCTGTTTGGCAGTTGTAAATTAAATTTTCATTTTTCAATACTTTTTTATTTTCAAAATTTCCTAAAATAAGTAAATCCCTGGTAGAAGGACTGAAAAGAGAACAGGGGCACCTTGGCAGATGGACAGGGGGCACCTTGGTAGACAGACAGGGGGCACCTTGGCAGACGGACAGGGGCCACCTTGGCAGATGGACAGGGGGCACCTTGGCAGATGGACAGGAAGGCACCTTGGCAGATGGACAGGAGGGCACCTTGGCAGACGGACAGGGGCCACCTTGGCAGATGGACAGGGGGCACCTTGGCAGACGGACAGGGGCCACCTTGGCAGATGGACAGGAAGGCACCTTGGCAGACGGACAGGAGGGCACCTTGGCAGACGGACAGGGGGCACCTTGGCAGACACACCCAAGGGGAGAGACAAGGGCCTATCAGGGCAGTGTGCTGAGGAATGTGGGAGATACTGAGGAGAAAAAAGGCTGTAGAAGGTCTTCAAGAAGCTTGGTTGCTACCAAATATGCTATGAACATGAAGTAAGAATGTTCCCAAGCTAACTGAACATGCCTGAACAGAAGGTCAGAATGAAGTAAGTTACAGAACTTTTGTTTAATTTTTCCTGTCACCATTACAGAACTTAAGTCTTACAAAGAAATGAAGTGTCCGTGTAACTGGCACATATTTTATCTAGATAAAAATCTAAACCTTTAATGTGGGCTTTTTAAAGTATCCCGACTTTTGTCATTTTTTATACAAATTATGAATGTCTGTTGCTTACTTGTAATAATAAGCATCTATCTTCTGTGACTGTGTAGTAGAAACTACTGTCTTTTCAATGACAGTCCCATGTTAGGCAGAAGGGAATGAGGGTGGCTGAGTAGGAAACCTGCTACTTCAGTCTTCAGAGTCGATTTCAGAGGGTGAATTTTCATATGTTGACTATGAAAATATTGGACTCTAAAGTGTGGACTAGAGCCTTGGGAAGGGAAGTTGATGGAAACCTATTGAGAACTTGTTATATGCTACATGGGCCTAGGAGCTATGAATATTATCTCATGTCTTTATGAATTATAATGGCGAAATGCTCAAAAGTGATGCACAACATTTATGGTTCTCCGGCTTTTGTGAACCTGGAGACCTGGAAAGGTATTTCATGGTGTTGGGCTTACTATAATTACTGCTATGGCTTTTAAGACACAACTTTAAGTGTGCTTTATTTATTAAGCATTGTAGATCATGGTAGATATGCAAATTAACTGTCTTCTTTGACTTTTTTGTGATTTGACTTATAAGATTAATAAAGTATTGAATCTATGCTTTTGATTAAAGTAAACATGTGCCAGTATTTTTTTTTTAATTTGAAAATTGGTATGAGAGGCTTTATAAAGAGTAAATACTACTGGCTGTGGTTGAAAGCACTTGCTGTGCAAACCTGACAATCCAAGTTCGATCCTCAGAACCCACAAAAAACAGATGCAGTGGCACATACCCATAATTCCAACATTCCTATGGCAGGATGGGAAGAGAAGGCAAGAAAATTGCCTAGAAGCTCACAGCTAGCTTGGAGGACATAGCAAGGTGAAAACAGTAGCATCATGGCATGCATGTGCCTCCCCACAGTGATAATAGAGTACATAGTACTAAAACGTGACAGTCACTCCTGCCATGCTCTAGAAAATTGATAATTCATACCAGTTTTCAAGGAATTGATGCGCACATGTTTCTGCTCATAAACAAGAGTCCTAAGAGTACCTTTCCATAGAAACCATGACCTTTAGGATTAAACAAGTTCCATAACATGGGCTGATGATATTTGATCTATGCCTAGTTTAATTTTTTAATAGACATTTTCTTTTGATTTTTCAGGAACTATCTCCTACTTCAGATACAAACTTGGTCCGATCCTTAATGAATCTGATAGATTGTTTTATGGATGACTTTGCTGATGAAGTCAAACAAAGAGAAAGAAATGATCGTGAAACTTTCTCTTTACTTGAGGTAAGGCCATTGTTTTCCTTGTCTTGTAGTACAGTGATATCTCCTGCTTTCATCAAAGCTTCCTAATTTGTGAGATACACTTTGCTCCTGAAATTGAAACCTAAGAGAGAGGAAGGATCTGGGCCCCAAATGCCAAGAGAGTGTGGGGAAACTTCTGCACCGGCAGTTACGCTGTGGCATGAAGTTTTGAGGTTTTGATCAGCACAAATTCCCCACTGGAACCAGAACCAATGGTCCCTGACCCGCCTCAGAAATGGTCAATGCCTGAAATGCTTCACTTCCTTTCAAACAATTTATTACTTTGCCATCTTGACTTTCTTCTTTTTTTGTGTAAGAACAAATTTATACATTGGGTGGGTGGATGTGTGGATGTGCAGAAATATATATTAGATTAAAGAAAGCAGAAAAATATACAGCTGATTGATAAATAATTTTTATGTTCTTTTTTATTGCAATATTAGAGACTGACTTTGGGATCTCATGCATGCTAACCTAGTGCTCTATCATGAGCTATATCCTAAGACTACAGATTTTGAAAATAGGAATACAGGGTTAGATAGATGGCTCAGTGGTTAAGAGTACTTGATGCTCTTCTACTGAGGTCTAGTCAACTGCTCTTGCAGAGGACCCAAGTTTTGTTCCTAGCACCCATATAAGGCAGCTCACATCTGCCTGTAACTCCAGCTCCAGGTGATCAAACACCCTCTCCTGGCCTCCAAGGGTACCTACAATCAAGTACACCTATCCCCACACAGGCAAACACACATGTATATAAAAAAATTAAAACAATAGTAATATAAGTATCAACAGACTTTGTGTATTTTGAATAAAAATGGTAACCCTTCTAAGATAGTCAAAATGGAATTCTTAAAACTAATATTTTATGAAATAAATTAATTTTTAATTTAGAGACAAGTATTTTCCTGCAAGAAACAGTCTTTGAATAAACTAGGAGTTAGGTAAACAGGATTGAAGTCTAGAATGTTTATTAGCATAGGTGGGACTCTGTTCATTGAGCATTTAAAAAGAGATTGGTTTATAATTATTTGATCTGGTCTTCTCTCTTCCTCCTGTCTGGTAAAACCAAAGTTAGTGCTTTTTGTTCGCTGGATGGTAATTCTAGTTCACATAATTAATGCTTAGATAGTATTACAAATAAAAGAATAGACATCAGTTCTACTCAAAGCCAGCATACAAAATTTAATTTAAAAAATATATATCATTTGCCTATCAACGTTATATCAATGGTCCTTTTAAGATCAAGGTCCTATATGAGTTTAAAATATCATGAGATTTACTAGTGTCACCACTGTGAAGCTTCACTATGGCTAGAATTTGTATTTGGCATTGCATTACTTTAGAGAGTTTTAGAAGACATGTAATTTGGGGGAAAATCTAATTGTTAAGATCTGCTAGTATATATCAGCTCACTTCTTTCGTCTCACAGACATCAGTCTGGTTGATCAGATTTAAGCCATGGGGATAGTCAAAGTTTACCTTTAATTGCACTTTATCTTCTTCTCTCTCCAATGAAGGGCATTTTTCTGTTTTCGTTGATCTGGTCTATTGGTGCTTCTTGTACAGATGAAGATCGACTGAAATTTAGTAAGATTCTTCGAGAGCTAATGGAAGGTCCAATTTCAGACCTAACTCGAAATAAGTTTAAATTGCAAAGTGGTACTGAACAAACATCCACAAAGTCATTAACTGTGCCATTTCCTGAAAAGGGAACAATTTACGATTATCAGTTTATCCCTGAGGTGAGTACTGAAGCAAGATATGTAGCTGTCCGCCTGGCAGAGTCATGGCTGAGACACAGTAGATACTGGCTCCGGGGTCATTTTTTCCTCACTGGTCACCCAAACAGACAATGTGGAATAGAGGAGGGTGTGCTGGCTTTGAAGTTGGACAACCTTGGGTTTGAATCCTAGTGGAGTTATTTTCTTTCTGTACAGCCTGGGGTTAGCTAATTTTCCTGAACATGGTTTTCCTCTGTGTTTAAAAGTTATAACACCTGATAGACTAACTGTACTTATTAAATGGCATTATGATATGTAGCTTAGGGCAAAATTTAGGAGAATTCCTATATATTATTGAAGTATTTAAATAAAACTGGAGTCATGCTGTAACCAATGGGAAGTTTCTTATCCCTTTTTTACTTAAAAGGAGAAAATTTGGGGGCTGGAGAGATGGCTTGGCGGTTAAGAGCACTGACTGTTCTTGCAGAGGACCTAGGTTGGATTCCCAGCACCTACATAGCAGCTAAAAACTGTCTGTAACTCTAGTTCCGTGGGATGCACTTACATACATGCAGGCAATATACTCATATACCTAAAATAAAAATAATAAATACATTACTTTAAAGAGAGAAAACTTTCCATGTCCCTAGGGTCTCTTCAGTGAAGTTGTTTTCTGAGCCCTAAGTCCATCAGGCTATTTTTTGTATCTTTAGTTTTTCACTTTTGTAATTGCTGCTTTGATGGAAATTCTCAGATACAAGTCATGGTGTGCATATCTGATTATTTCCTTAAGACAAATTTCTGGGAAAGTTATTACCTCATTGAGTTTAAAAAGTTTTATGGCTCTTGAGACATATTGCCAGTCTTTGCCTACAAGAGATTTTTTTATTCTTCATCCTGACCAACACATATTTGCTCATTTTATTTTATTTTGAATTACTAACGAAGCTTGGCATTTTTAGAGTATTATAGTTTAATATTTTTTTCACAATCATTTATATTTTGCTTTCCAACATGTCAGTGAAACAAGGATAGCATTAGTGTGAAGATTTTCTGATGGAGGAAATTTGGACCCAGAGGTCTTAAGTGATTTCTCCAGGGTTGTAGTCTCTAAGTGACTCTACATTTCTGGTTACTGATTCTGAATCCTCCCTTCCCTGTATGATGGCCAAAGATAGGTGTTTGACTAGATTATAAAATATATGGAAAGGGAACTATTTTTCTCATCAGTTCTAGAACTATTTGCAGTGTACTTTTCAGGGTGAATTTGAATTCAGTGCCCTCAAAAGTGTCTTCATTAAATGCATAGCTCATTGCCAGAAGATATAAAAATGAAGTACAGCTGTGCAGTGTGTGAGCTCGCAACCTCTTTGAAAGAGTGCCATGCTTTAGTCTGGGCTCGAAGCATGCCATGTGAAGGCCTAGTGGGAAAGTTATCTGTTGACTACAGTGTCCATCAGTGAAGACTAGTTTGGGGGTAGATGGTGATAGGAAGAAAGAATGGGTCTGATTCTGATGTTTTTGAATGACTAAGGGTTTATGGTCAAGTCTATATTAAGAATGGACAATGTGGGGCTGTAGAGCTGGCCCAGTGGTTAAGAGCATTGGCTGTTCTTGCAGAGGCTCTGGTTTCAGTTCCAGCACCCACATGGTGGCTAACAACCATCTGTCACTCTAGGTCTGTGGGTCTAGTGCCCTCTTGTGGCCTCCATGAGCATTAGATGCATGTGGTACAGTTACATACAGGCTAAACACTCGTATGCATAAAGTAAAAATAAATAAACCTTGGGCAAAGACCAGTTGTTCTCAGGTAAACCTTACCTAGACATATATTTCTTGATCTGCTATGTATAATTTGTCAGTAGGCTGTAGGAGTAATACAGTCTTTGCCCAAGATTTATCTAATCTACAGTAAGCAAAAGTACCAGACTGGTGGAACTAACCTTCTTGGATGTTTAACAGACATACTTTGAGGCCTATAATAGTGTGGTCAAAAGGACATAAAGGACAGTTTTTGCTCCTCGCCCTCCTAGGTTGACTAGTTACTGGGGCCTATAAGCATCTCTCAAAATGTCCTGTAATTGTGGTGGGTCACCTGTCCTCTTGATCAAGGAGTCTGAGGAGACCCCACCAGATGGACTTGAACCAGTGTCCAGTCTACAAAGATGAGGGTCAACACAGAGAAATCATTTCTTCCATGCTTCCAAGTGAAGCCAACCTGGTCAAGCAGGATTTTGACTTATCTTCACATAAGCGGAACTGGTAAAAGAAAGGAGCCAGGGGTTCCTCCCAAGCCCATGTGACCCCTGAGGAACAGATCCTCTAACGACCTTAAGAGTAAAAATAAATTGGTTTATCTGGGCCAACTGTATAGCCTTAAACACCCAAAAGGAAAGTATAACCAAAGATTAAAGGGGCCAATATAATTTCTTAAGAGTCCATATGCATAGATAAAGGCTATATAACAAGCAACAATGCCAGATGGGAGATACCTTCTTTTGAGTTGTTGACCAGGGCCAAGGGGACTCCCAGATAGTAACCCAGCGTAGAAGTGGAAAAATGAACAGCAGACCCCAATCTTATCTAAAGGAATATTG